CCAGTCGACCTGTTGACAAAGTTGTTATAGGCAAATTCAACAATAGGCAACAACAAATTCCAATTCCCATCTTCTCGTCCACTAGACACCTAAGTAAATCTTTCAAGCTACAATTGACAACCTCAGTTTAACCATCAGTTTGGGAATGAAAGGCAGAGGAAAAATTTAGATTAGTTCTAAAGAGTTTCCAAAGTGTCTTCCAAAAATAACTCACAAATTTGACATCCCTATTAGACACAATGGAAATAGGCAACCAATGTAGTCAGACGACCTCTCTAAAAAATAACTTTGCTACTTGTGAGGCATTAGTAGACTTAGTGCAAGGAATGAAATGAGCCATCTTAGAAAACCGATCTACGACAACTAAAATGGAATCATGACTAAGAGTTGTTTTAGGCAATTCTAAGACAAAGTCCATACTAAGGTCTCTCCATGGGTGTGTGGAACTGGTAATGGTGTGTACAACCCACTGTTTTATTTCCTAGCCTTTGCCAACTGACAAGTGCGACACTATGACACTATCCTAATAATGTCACATCTCAAAGTGGGCCAATAAAACCTATCATCAACAAGTACAAATGTCTTATCCTTATCAAAGTGGCCTGCCAAGCCTCCCGCATGTAATTCCCACGTTAGGAAATCCCTAAGTGAAGTACGGAGAATACATAAGTACGACCCTTTAAAAAAGTAACCATCTCTAAGGAGGAAGTCAATGTACTCATGACGGTTGCCAGACTGAACATCCTAAAAAATGATACCAGAGTTAGGACAAGAGGCATACTCATCTATAATCCTATCAAAGCCAATCACATGGACACTCATAGTCTGTAAAATAATAACTACATGGCTAAGAGCATCTGCATGCTTGTTTTCAATGCCCGCTCGATGGTGAAGAACAAAAATATACTCTTGAAGGAACTCAACCCACCTAATGTGCCTAATACTCAATTTTCTCTAGGAATGAAGGTATTTCAATGTCTGATGATCAGAATATAACACAAACTCAGATGACAATAGATAATACCTCCAATGACAAGTTTCATTTTGGCAAAACAAACCCAATGGTCATCAGACATATCATACCAATCAAAATAGTTATCCATTTCATCCAACCAATCTAAGAAAACAACAGGATCTAACCTACCATCAAAACTAGGAGCATCCACTTTGACTCTTTGTGTGATATCCCTATATTCTTCATGGACGTGCCTATGTCGAGGATTATGGTAACGTAGAGGGGAAGGCCTATGGTTTTGCACACATGGTCAAAAGGGCTCACGATAACCATCCATATCACCCTCTGCTAAATAGTCAGACATAACTACCTCAGCGAGATCCTCTTGAAAATTTCTATGACCTATGTTTCGTCCAAAAGCGGTATTAGGAGGTGGCTTCCTATCTAGACACTGAACTTGGCTCCCTTGAGCTACGTGCGGAGTGGGTAGGACACCTTGACATGAGTCAGGTGCCTAACATGGTGTGCCTGTCTCAACTTAGGTGAAACTGGTGACTCACCCTGGTCATCCTCTATTGGTTGATTTTCTATAAACTTAGTCAATTGGGCTAGTTGAGTAGTAACTTGAAAAATTTGTTGCCCCATTCCTTTAACTTCCTCACATAACAAGTTGATTGATTCTTTAGTGCCAGTCATATCAATGGTGAGGGTCTCAAATTTTTGTTCCAGTGCAGTATGGGACTTTGAAAGTTCTCGAAGGGTTATAGTGAATGTGATGTAAAATTTGGCCTAATGAAAAATACCGACTAGACTAAAAATTAAACCAAGTAATAAAACTATAAATCAATGCAAATGGTTACACACAAGAATAAGCTTATTAGACTCAAATAAACGTGAGACAAGCAACAATGGGTTTCCAAGAATTAGGCAAGCTAAGTTATGAAGGTGGTGTTTGTGAACAACAAACAAAGAAAGTTGTGAAGATGGTGTGTGGGAACAACAAACAAATAAAGTTTAGGTAATTTTGTTTCTTTTTTGACTTACCAACAAATATAAATATTAGTCACCAACTTTCAATGAAGAGAACTCGTACCTGGTGTTATATGCAACTTCAAGAGGATACTTGACAAGTTAGAGGATGATCCTACAAATTCTGAAACTTTCTGAGGTGTTTCTTCAATTTTTGGAATTTTTTGGGTGATGTTTCTATAATTCAGGAACTTCTGGGGGAAAGATTCTGTAATTTTTAAAACTTCTGGTGGTAGTTCTACAATTTCTAAAATTTTCTAGGGTGTTTCTATAATTTTTCGAACAACTGGGATGTTGTTATAATTTTTTGAATCTGCTAGGGACAGTTTTTTTTGGCTGGCTATGGATTTCTTTTTTGGTGATGAACAATATTTTCGATGGGACAATGTACGGATGAACAATGAATGCGTGAACAGTGTACACGAACAGTGCGTGAACAATGATTTTGTAGAACAGTGAACAATATTTTTTTTTTTTGATACGAATCGAAGTTGGGCTCTAATACAAAATTGATGTAAATCATATTAGCTCTGATACAAAATTGATATAGATCGTTGTAGTGAAGAATTAGGGATGAGAAAGGAGAAAGAAGGGGATGAGAAAAGAAGAAGAATGAGATGAGAATAGACAGAGAATTTGAGAAAGAAACAATATTAGGATTCAATATCAATAATCAATAATCAAAGTCTACCAAAACAAATAATATATCTCCTATATATATAGGGAGAGCACAAACCCTAAAAGAACTCTAAAAGAAATAAATAGTTAAAATGACAACTAAGCCCCTGAAAAGTAAAATGACAAATAACTCCTAATCCCTACGTCTACGCCTATTATAACGAAATATAATTCGATTCCTATCATTCAGTCTGGGTGACCTACTCCACTCTTGAGAAATGACAGTGATGGCCGAAGGTCTTTATTGATAAATAAAGTTACAGAGAGAAAGCTTCGGGAGAGCTACACCAGTAAGGAGAGAGAAACTATGTGCGGGAGGTGCAGAGAGGTGTGTTGTGAGAGATAAGATGCCTCTCTATGTGGAGAGAGCTTACAATATATAGGTTTTGTGACGTGGTGACGTGAGTGAGAGGGCACTACTTCTTTGGTAAGTACAATTAAGGTAGGATTGATCTTCATGAGTGCATATCCCGATAATCTCTCTTCCACGTGCTCTTATCTTTCCAGACTCCTTGGATCTTGGACTGGAACGAATTGACAAAGTGGGCTTGGGTTGCCTTTTAGCTGACTTGGGATTGCTTGATTCATTGGGTCTGGCCCAACTAGACTTGGGCTTATCATTTGCCCCCCATATCCCAAGCCTCCAACTATTTGCGAGAGAAGGTAAGCAAACATCGGCAAAATCATTTCACGGCGTTTAATTTTAACTTCATCTAAAGAGTTTGTTTAAACGCCGGAAAATATTTAACATCAGTTTCGGCGACAGAAGGTAAAACCCCAGTTTTTTTTTCAATTCCGGTCAGCGGAAAGTTATTACTGNTTTCAATTCCGGTCAGCGGAAAGTTCTTACCGGCATTTGAATAAACGCCAAAAATTTCTGTAGGTTGGTTTTGAGTTTTCCTACACTTATATAAATGCCAGTAATGCTCTTTATATATATACATCTATTCTTTTGGAGTTCACAGTAAAAGCCAGGTAGTAAACACCAACATATTCAATCACATGTACTCTAAAATACAACAGTTTGTTAACAGCCAAACCTTCTCCCAAAAAAAAAAAAAAAATAGGGTTATAAGTCAGTTCCACTGGAAGAATTCTACTACAAGAGATGAATTGAAAATTGATATAATTGTAGTTAAGTTCTAGAAAAATGTTTCCAACAAAATTAGTGACAAAAAAAAAACAAGATAAGCCTTCAATTATCCCAATGACTTGCCCAATTGTATTATTTTTTTTCTGGATAAGCTGAAAGTAAAGAAGAAAAGAAAATTAATCAGGAACACGAGAACTTAATATAAACAATGCTAGTAGGATGGAACAAAAATGTTTGAATGAAAGAATCGTACATCTTAGCATCTCTTGAGAAGTTTTATCTCCTAGTTTGATGCAAAAATGCTTTCCCAACACATTAGATTAGATCTATATGTTTGAAAATGTCGAATAACAAAACTTGGTGAGATCATCACACCATATGGCTCATTAATCTTATATCAGTACCTCTTATCTGTGGCACTAACACATTTTCAATTGGAAAATATAATGTAGAGTGCTAACTCAAGCCAATGCAACATGCTGGTGCCACAAGAGAGTTGCACTTATTGTACAGGCTCTTATGTTTTTTATATGCTCCTGTTGATATTGTAGCCATGAATGTGGTCTTTAGTGGTGGTGACCCAGATTATGTTGCTCTTCGACAATTTGGCTTTGCTATACTACTCAGGTCACAATTTCCAAACTTTATGTGTGCATCAATGAATGCAGACATCATTAATCTATATACGTGCTGACAAAACACAAACCAATCATTAAGATCGTTGAATAAGAGTAGGATTTACCATCCAAGGCTCTGCAATAGCAAGTGATGCTTAGTATTTACCACGCTATTTATGCCATAGAAAAGTGTGGAAACACTATTGAATGGATATCTTGCGTGATGCTTAAAGAAGATCAAGAGGAAGAGTCTTGCTATGATTAAATAGATGAAACGATTGAATCGGAAGTTCCATTTTATAAGCTCCTTCCTTCTTCCTTCTTCCAAATTCTGGAAAAAAAGAACAACATATGAACAAAGAAATGCACAACACATACCTTTAGGGCAAAAAACTAGCCAGAGTTTTATTTAATGATTCGTTTTTCCTCTAAGAGTCTGATTTCTGCAGAAGCCATCTCTGTATATGTCCCGACGCCACAAGTACCAGAACTAGATAGAGCTTCATCAATTCAACTACATGGAGAAGGGGAGAGAACTGTACAACATCTACCAAAAACCAAAAAGACTTAAAACGATCTACCTAAAATTAAGCTTATATTAATTTCTTCATCACCACTTTAGATGAACCCACTCTCTAGAGGCTCGTCATTCACAATCTCATAGTTACACTTGCAAAACCATAGATTTACAGATTTAAAGTACAACACCTGCAAAACCAAAGAGAAGTAAGAAGTCTCAAAAACTATTCAACATTCATCTTTTGTTTTTTCCTTGACCTGCTCAATAATTTGGAAGGTGGAGATGGAGAAAACTCAAATGGTACTGATGGAAGATCCACCTCCCCTTTCAAAATGTAAACAAAATACTCTATGTCTAGTCGCAACTCAGGCATTTTTTGTAAACAAGCGAGTGCCAGGTTCATACACAAGCTTGCTTGGTCCTTAGTGTACACTTCTTTCGGTCTCTCATCCACAAGCTCAAATAGATTTCCAGCTTGAGCCAAGTGTCGACACCAACTAATCAAGTTTGCTTTTTCAAGATTCATGGGCGTGAAACAACATGTAATGGCCTTGTGCCGGACACAATAAAAAAGGATCAAAACTCCTAGGCTGTAAATGTCAGCCTTCTCCATCAAGCACTCACATCTACGGCATTCTTGAGCATCAAACTAACGTGACAAAAAATTAAGAACCTTAATCAAATCATACTACCGTCAAAAGTGCACAAAAAAACTAATGGAGCAGTAACAAAATTGTTGTTTTTCAAGCAAACTACTAGGAAAAAAATGAAATTGTGCAAAAATTTTGCATTATAGCACACTTTTTATCTGCGCAATTATATGATCAATGTTGACCATCGAAATCTAAATTAGTGCAAATATCTGTTGAATGTATAACCATTTTGGCAACAATAAGGGAAAGTGAAACAAACAAAAAATGTAATTCTACAATTTTTGAAGGTTTTACCAAACAAAGAATGCAAGTTGTGTTCAATGAATCAATTAGTCCGAATCCACACGCACGCACGCACGTGCAGACACACACACAGTGATCATCGATCACTGTTGGCCACAATTCATGACCATCAACACCACAAGTGCGAAGCAAAAATATAAGAAAAAAAAATCAAATTCTGAAAGGTGGAAAATAATGATTGATTAATAAAAAAAAAGGAGGACTTGAATGAGCCAACTCGATGGTGGTGTTGATCGATCGATAGAGGCCTATTGTCACACCCTAACTGACTTGGGTGCAAATGGCCGATCTTGGTGGCACCTTGCACCAGTTCGACAGATTGGGGCGAACCAATGTAGCATGAGACCACCCGGTTGAGCATGGCAGCATGTGGTGGGCTCAATTGAAGCAATGTGGGTGCATAGCTTCGGATTGCATGGCATGGGTTGAACCCAGTATGCACATTGGTTCGTGAAGCAAGGCTGGCTGCTGAATGTGGGCACATGACTGGCACATGGCTGCTCAATGCATGTGATCAGGAGGATGTGGGCAGTTGCAGAAGCTGAGACACAGTCAAGGCAGTTGCTGAGGCATTTCTGGGCGTCCCTAGTCTGAATCCAGTCCAGATGCATGCTGATGAAAAACAATTCCACATCAGTTACTGAAAGGGGTGGAACTGCCTGACAGGTGTCGCACTGAGACCAAGCCTGCTAGCCAAGTATGCTATGGAATAGCAAAAACGTGTGTAACTACTCCTTGGCAGATGGGGGTATCATCTGCCTTACTCCTGTATAAATAGGGGTGCTTGAGCATTCTGATAGGAAGAGAGTGTTCTGGCTTTGAGAGTTCCTTGAAAATTGTTGAGTTCAATATATAAGGTTTGGGAGTTTTGTATTAGTAAATTCATGTGTGCCTTCTGTGTGAGTTTCTGTCCCTTATTCTTGAGTTTGTATGTGGCTGGTTGCAATAGCAACGCCTTCACAGGTAGCCTCGAAAGAAAAACGAAAGTTACCCCGTGATATTTTGGTATTAGAGCGTGGTTTTGGCAAAAGATCAACTATGGCTGGCGGAACGAATGCTGATCTGAGGGAAAGGGTGGCACGTTTGGAGGAGTTGGTTGGTCCTCCACAGTCCGGTGATGCTGTGGCTCTCTCTGTGCAACTTGAGTTGCTGTATCAGCGGTTTGAAGAAATGCGTGTTGCACATGAACAGCTTCAAAAGACTGAATCTGATCACTTCAGTCGAGTGAAAAATGAAGTCGTTGACGTGCTGGCTACGGTCTCCATATGGACCGATGATATGGGGGAAAAATTGAGTTCCCTCGAGACAGACGTTTCAGTGCTCAAGAAGGCACTGTAGAATGTTTCTTTGGCTTCTGCCAGTGAAAGCACTCAAAAAGTTAAAGTGTCTGACCCTAAGCCTTTCACAGGCAGTCGTAATGCTAAAGAACTCGAGAACTTTCTGTGGGATATGGGGCACTACTTCAAAGCAGTCCGCACTCCGGATGCTGAGAAGGTAGATCTCACTAGCATGTACCTGTTTGGTGATGCTAAATTATGGTGGCGAACACGTTCTGAGGACAAATCACGTCCTCCAATTACTACTTGGGAGTCTCTGTCCACTGAAATGAAGGAGCAATTCCTTTCCAGTAACACAGCTTGGCAAGCCCGTGATGCATTGAGGAAACTTCGACATACAAGCACTGTGAGGGAGTACGTGAAGTAATTCTCGTCTCTGATGCTTGACATCAAAAATGTGTCAGAGGAAGACAAGTTGTTCAACTTTATGTCTGGCCTCCAAACTTAGGCACAGGCAGAACTTCGTCGGCAAGGGGTTAAGGACTTACCCGTTGCTATGTCCGCAGCAGATGCGCTGGTTGACTACAAAACGCAGGCTAACCCTCTAGAGAAAGAGTCAAAAGGGAAATTCAAGTTCCCTAAGAAGGACAAGCAAAAGAAAAAGGCTAAGAAGTTTGACAATTTAGAAAAATCGATTGACAAGGCCTCTTCATCAAAGGGATGTGCTGACTTAGGCTGTTTTATCTGTAGTGGCCCTCATCGTGCCAGAAATTGCCCCAAGAAGGAAAAACTCAGTGCCCTCATGGCTGAGAAAACTGATTGTTCTGACAAACCAACACGAGTCAACCCATTACAACTCCTTAATGCAATTCACAAAGAAGAGACGGTGGCAAAGAGGGGGTTGATGTTTGTGCAGATTCGCCTGAACAATGTAGCTATCCAGGCAATGGCTGATACAGGTGCAACCCATAATTTTGTTTCTGACCGAGAAGTACAACGGCTTGGTCTAGCTTTGGTGAAAGACTCTAGCCAAATTAAGGCTATTAATTCAGAGGCAAAACCAGTAGGCGGCATCACAAGAGAAATCCCTTTAAAAGTTGGTGATTGGCAAGGACCATGTTATGGCAGTTCTTTTCGATGATTTTCAGGTAATCCTTGAACTGCAATTCCTTACAAAGGCAAAGGTGTCTATTATGCCGCATTTACATGGGATGCTTGTGATGGACATGCCCAATCCCTGCTTTGTTCCCCTCACTAAGGCCAAGTCTTCGGGGGAAATGTTGTCTGCCTTGCAAGTAAAAGATGGTTTGCGGAGGGGGGAAGCAACATACTTGGCTGTTATATTTGAGGAAGAGGAGTCCAAAGTATTACAAGTCCCTGAACCAATGCAACAATTTCTGGTTGAGTTCAAGGACATGGCACCTAAAGAATTGCCAGTAAGATTACCGCCAAGACGGGAGATTGACCATGTCATCGAGTTGATTCCAGGGGCAAAAATCCCTGCCCAGGCTCCTTATCGAATTTCTTCATCAGAGTTGGCGAAGCTAAGGAGACAGCTTGGGGGTTTATTGGACATTGGGTTCATTCAACTTTCCAAGGCACCCTATGGAGCCCTTGTTTTGTTTCAGAAAAATAAAGACGGATCCTTACGACTTTGTGTAGACTACAGAGCCCTCAACAAAGTCATTGTCAAGAACAACTATCCAATGCCGCTTGTTGATGAATTAATTGATAGATTGGGAAAGGCATTTTCTTCACCAAGATGGACTTGCGGCTAGGATATCATCAAGTCAGAATTACAGAGGGAGATGAGGCGAAGACTGCTTGTGTGACAAGGTACGGGGTCATATGAGTTTTTAGTCATGCCTTTCGGCTTAACCNTTTTCTTCACCAAGATGGACTTGCGGCTAGGATATCATCAAGTCAGAATTACAGAGGGAGATGAGGCGAAGACTGCTTGTGTGACAAGGTACGGGGTCATATGAGTTTTTAGTCATGCCTTTCGGCTTAACCATCGCCCCTGCTACATTCTGTAACTTGATGACCAACGTATTTCGGGAATACTTAGACCGTTTCATGGTGATTTATTTAGACGACATAGTTATTTACAGCCAGACTCTTGAGGATCATGTTGAGCATCTTAGGCTGGCTTTGACAAAGTTGAGGGAAGCCCAGTTGTATCTGAAACCAGAAAAATGTGAGTTGCCCATAAG